AGACCAGCCCACTCATTCAACACACCTTTGGAAAGCACTGCCTAGCAAGCACCTCTGGGCAGCAGCAGCAGAGCCTCTATCACTCTCAGGCATCTCACCATGTGGTTTTTTAGGAGAAGGCTTCCTAAAATTCCCAGAGCTCTCATTTGGCTTGTTGTTTTAATACACTTTTGCATATTCATTGCTAATTTCAGCTCCTTGTTTGGCTTGTGGAAGACAAAGACTTTCAGGTAAGACACCTGCTTCCTTGTGATATGCACTGTCTGGATAGAGTGCTTGTGCTCACTTTCTTTCGCTTTCTCTCTCTCTGTGTCTTTTTACCCTGAAATTTGCACTTCTGATCTGAGTTAGATGACCGCTTTGCTTTAGCAGACCACATTGTGTACAATCAGAGCACAGTGTTGGAAGATCCACAATCAAAAACTTGCTTCTGCTGGATCACTAGTTTCCAGTGTTTCCTTGTGTAGCTGTTTAAGAAAGCAGCTTTTGCTTTACTAATGCTACCTGTTTTCATACTTTGGCACTACATAGTCTTTGCTTTTCCTGGTGGCTCCCAGAAGAGCCTCATTCAGCCCTCGTTCAGATTTGTTTGGCTGGATATTGAATTTGGTGGGATACCTTCAAATTTATAGTGAGTTCAGCATCTGATGCCTAGTACAAATATGCTGCATACTGGGAGACCAATGTCATGCAGATATGATCAATATGTGTATCATTTTTTATATAAATGGTCAAGTAAATCCTACAAGAATGGGTGTAGAGGGAATTGCAGTGTAGACTGCAGTAAAATGTCTCTGGCATCACTGGCAGGAGGTACTGTTCCTTGCACAAGCACAGCAGATATCTGAGCCTTTCCCACTACAAGCATGGCTCGCTTACGTGTTGGTGTCCTGTGCTGTGTATGGGAAGCACCGCTCCTCAGCCTCCCCACCAGCCCTCATATGGTCCCAGCTCTCCTGGTGAGCTCGTCCGGGTACAGTTAGTTTTCAACTGGACCTCTCAGGGCTGATGCTGTGGGGACAGGCAGGAGGGATCAGGCTGGGAACACCTACATCTCTTCTGGAGGTGGCATGAGTTTGGCTCAGCTCTAGTGGCTTGAGACCACACCTTGAGGACAGCTATCAATTTGGAGAGGTCAGAATCTGCACAAGGGAAATTTGGGGGAAAGGAGAGGAGTTGTAGAGAAGTGAGTTGTCCTTGATCACAGAGCCCATCGGTGGCCGGGCTGGGACAAGAACTGGTTCTCCATGCCCAGCTGCTTGAAGCCATTTCATTCTGCCATAGTTTCAGAAAATGGAAATGTCCATATTTTTGCAACTTGAGTGAAACACAATGAGGCATGAGCTGTATGTGGTTATCTATGTGTCAGTTTTATTTCCGTACCTTTATATGTAACATAAAATGACACAAAGCAGCATTTTTATGGCTTTATCCTCTGTTTGTCCTAGGGCTTTGTAAATGGAGAGGAAAATGACAGTAAATGTCATTGAGCTTCTGCAGTTGTTTGCCGGCTGGACTCTAGAGCCTGAAATTTGATGAGCTGCTTTGACCATTTGTCTGGGTTTAAAATGCTGGTCAGGAGAGCAGGGTCCTGTGTAGGCACGAGTGCCTGCCCACGTGGGTCTGAGTGCAGGGAGTAAGGTTTTGGATGTGAAGGGCCCTCGGTTTTACATTTTGATCTCTGTATGTTTGGCACAGTATTTGAAATTCAAGTGTAATAGAGCTCAGATGGAATCTGTGACCTGCAAGAGAGCACCTGTGGAAAGTCTGGGGTGGGAGGTGGTTTGTCATACTGTCCTGTTTCATTTGTTCTCTGCCCTTTAGTTTCAAAATTTTAAACATCATCTTAAAAATATAACAGAAGATCGTCCAGGGATTTAAGATCTACCTGAGCTACCTTACCAAATTTCTCTTTGCTTAAGAGTGTATATGTACAATCTTTCCTCTTATTAGGCAGTAAACAGTAACACAAGTTTATACATGGAGCACTATGATAGAAAGCAACTGCTGCATACTTGGTTGAAACTGGCTAATGATTATGAGGGGAGGTAGGGGAAGAGCTGATAGGCCTTAAAACCCTTAGAAATAGCATTGGAAAGATTCAAGTATTTATCTGATACAAAATGATTTTTAAAAGCCTACTTAGTTGATAATTTCCTAATCACACTAATGAATGCTGTACCACTCTGAAGCTTCAGCAGCAATTGAACTGTTATCTGCGGCCTGCTATCTGCAGAGATTTTTTTTTTCCCATTTATCACCTCAGAAGCAATCCACAGCTCTCCAAAACAAACGCATCATGCAAAGGGTGAACGTGAGTGTGAAATCAGACTGCCACAACTATGCTGGTTTATCCTGAAAAGCTTTACTGTACATAAAAGCTCAGCTGCAGACATTTTTCACCTTCCTTTTTCCTGTTCCACCCTCCAGCCATGTGCAGATAAGAACGAATGTTTGGGACAAAACCGCACCGCTTCTGCCTTGATTTTTTTGCTGGGTTTCAGCCCAGCCCTGTTGCAGGTGGCTCTTCTGCTGTTGGCAGCTGTGTGCTCCTATGATATCTTTGTACCTGCCGGTGCCTCCGAATCGGGCAACAGGGCAGCTGCAATATTAGAGGTTATTGCTGAAAATTCAGAGATTTTACATTTTTAAGCTTCAGAGTGTATTTTAATGGCTTCAAAGTGCCTGTCTTAGGATACATGTACCTGGTAAGTGGATGCGATTGTATTAGCTGGCTAAGGGGGAAGGAGAAGAAAAAGTGCCCTGTGGCCCCAAATGCTCAAGAAGTGATGTATGGTAAAGGAATGAGTTCATATTAGACTTCCCTTACTGAATTCTGGAAGATCTTTATGCTCTGTCGCTGAAGCACTTGCCTCTGCTGGCAAAGCAGAGAGCCAGATGGCTGCCTTCATGGTCTGTGCCATGTCCTGAACTCGGGATCTCCAAAACAGTCCTGCAGTGCTCTGGGGACATTGCCAGGGGTCCTGCCCAGTGCAGGGCAAAGCTGTTCTGTGCTGGTTTGCAGTTACTGCCGATATGGATGTTTCATGAGCCAAGCGCTGAAGAGGAGTGTGTAGCCTCTGGGATTTGCTTAGTGGGGAGATAAGCAGTATTCAGGCCAGAATGGTGTGGGAAGTTGAATAACACTTTGGTGGCAAAGTTGAAAATGAAATTGAATTCATACAGCATCCTGCAGAAACTCAGTGGCGGTTGCCAGGGCCAAGTCCTTTGAGTGTGGTGGTCATAAGCAGCGGTTGCTCTGAAGCACAGAGAGGAACTTGGAGTCTAGAGCACTAGAAATGGGCTGGAAGGAGTTCGGTGTTAAGTGGAAAGTGTGTGTGATGTGTCTGCTTTTCCTTTGATTGCATTCAGGCGATTGAGCATTTTCCAACGTGCCCCAGATATTCTACAAGTGGACACCCAAGAGCATCAGGGTTTAAACTATTCTGATAATGGGAACTCAAAGAGCTTTTTAAAGGTAACTTTGGGGAGAGACAGCACAAGGCTCGAACAAGATATGGTTGAGAGGACACCAAGATGGGAAGGGAAGAAGGAGCAGAAGAAAGTTATGAAACCAGTTGCCATGGTGGAGGAAGCCAAGGAGAACATGATTATGAAACCAGCCCCTGGGATGGAGGGAGTCAAGAAGACAACAGTGAAAACAGCCCCTAGTGTGCAAGGAAACAAGGAGAAAACGGTGAGACCAGCCCCAGAGGTGGAAGAAACCAAGGAGAAGGCAACAATGAAACCATCCTCTGGGGTGAAGGGAACTCATGAAAACAACATATCCAAAGACCAAATAAAGCCAAAAGAGCTCCCTGCATCAGTGAAAACTGTAAGACCTGTTCCTCAGGCTGCTGCAGTGACAGAAAAGAAGAAACTGAGGGCCGCAGACTTCAAGTCTGAGCCGCAGTGGGGTTTCGAGGACAAGTACCTGCTGGACAACTCATCTCCACCATCGGTAGGTGTGATGGCTGTGTGTGTTCACCAAGAATGATGCTTCTCTGTTGACTACCTTGTCTGCTGTCCCTTGGGCATGTGTGCCCTTTGCAGTCGAGGATGATCTCCAAGCTGGTAGGTCAGCTCACTGGTATATACAGGTGCTGCTGGGACCCAGAGAGGGAGACCTATATGTATGAGTCAGTTAACCTGGCCAGTCCTCCACCGTGCTCCAGTATGGGAACTTAATGCAATTGCACACATTTTCATGGGTTCCTTAGAAAGTCAGCCTGAGCAGCCCTTTCTAGAGCTTGGGTGCATCAGAAGCTGGGGAAAATATCTTTCTAGATGTGCTAAAAGGTGGTCCCACTCTTAGGCGCCTTGATATATCGCATAGAGGACAGGCACACAGTGCAGCGTGTATGTTCCCTGTGACGTGGCACCCTAAGGTAAGCTGGGTCACACCTAGTCTTGTGATGCCTACGGGCAGGCATTACGTGTTTGGCAGTAAATGTCAGTCTTCATACAGACGTCCCATTTCTCACCCGATTTCTTGGGAAACTAAACAACTGCATTCCTATGAAGACTCAGGTTTACAATACCCAGATTTGCCTTAATCTTTGTTTTATACAGCCCAGCTAAAGAAAACAAGCAGGGTCATGGTGAGGGAACAGGAATAGGAATGACTCAGTGTGCCTGTTCACCCAAGCACATAGGTACCAAAGCAAGTCCAAAGCGTTGGCAGCAGTGATGCTTGTGCTGTGCTAGGCTGTGAAGAATGACGCTGGCAGTGATGGTGAAGAGGATCTCAGTGCACAGGAATGGAGGCTTTGCTAGTTGCTTCTGTTAAAGTCAAAATAAGATCAAAGAAAAAGGGTTGGATGAGGATTGATAAGCATGTACCTGCCTGGTTTGCTGACAGTAGGGTGGGGACCATTCCCTTTTTTAGGGTTTTCTATCGGTATTGGCAAAAATTCAACTATGTGTATGTGTGCCCGATTGGAGAAATAATGGTTAAAAAGTAACTTCTTTTACCATTGTTATGGTTTATTATCAACAAGAGGAGAGTCCATCCTGGGTGTTGTCAATTCACCTTTTTCACCCTCTCTCTCCCCTGTGATTTGACAATGCGAGCCATTCTTTTCTGATGGGATGTGCTGTTCAGTTTGACATTGAGGGGGGCAGCTAGTGCTAGAGATGTCTCTCATCCAAAGATCTGTGACTGTTAAATGTGGAACTTGGCTGTTAAACGCTTGAGCTCATGCACTGACCCAGCCTTACTGAGTCACAGCAGAATGGCCTGGCACATGATCCAGTCTGTGGTGCAGGATGTGCATCCTTCTTCCTGGGCTCCCCATGGTCTCGAGACACCCAGAATACAAATGAGAGTGGGTGAATTACACGTCTAAGAGTCCATATGCGACATGAGACAGTACCTCACCCCTCCTGTTCTGTGTTACTGCCTGTAGACACAGGGGGATTAGGTCACCAGGATCCTGCTCATTGACTGCCAGGTGCTCCCATCTTCTCATCTGATGAGCTGCAGAGCATGTGCAGCCATCTCAGAAGTGCAGAGCAGGAGCTGGCAGAGAAATGTGAGACAACAGTTCACAGCAGGAAGCTGAGAACATCCTCCACTGTAACTGAGGCTGCAGAGCATCTGGGTGTGCAGAACAGCTGAGGCAGTGGGGAAAACCCTTCTTCAGTACAGAAAAGAGGAGAAAATGCACGCAGAAGGGTCTTTAGGGAAGATGTGGATCCAGACATCACATGTTGGGTCTCGCTCCCAAACCTGATCCCTAATTCTGCAGAGAGAGGACGTGACTAGAAGCACCCCTTTCATTTCCTACATGATCAGACTTTTCCCTAGTTCCTCTGGTATTGATGCAGTTGAGCTGTGGAGGCACAAGAAGTACCAAGCTTTGGACAGTACAAAGTACAGCTTGAGCAGGAAGGGAATGTCCCTGTCTCTGGACATGAAATGTGCTGCAAGTGAAACGATGCCAACATGAAACCCTCCACAATGTTCTTCTCATTACAGTCCTGTTGTGACAGGCAGAATGAGAGCTGTCTCCTCAGGCTGTGACTGGATTGTCATCCTCATGCATAGCAAAGAGCCCAGCTCAGCTGTGGAGCACACAGCAAGGCTTTGGCAGTGCAGTCTGGTCATTGTTGGGGATTTGAGCTGAGCATGCGGGTCCACTTGGCCTCCTCATTTGTCTTTCAGTAGCTATTGCAGTAGGTATTTGGGGAAGGCGTCTAAGAAAGTAGAGCCCAAATGGACTCAGTGGAAAATCCAGAGCAGTAGGGTTGTTTGCTCTCTATCTGCACACACAGCCTAACTCTTGCCAGCTGCAATGAGACCCCCCCCCCTTGTTAGAGAGGATAAGCTGGCTTGGATTCCCTTCTCAACTGCACGCTTCTCTGTGATTCATTTATGATGATGAACAAGTTGTTTGCACACTTTTTCTTATCTTTAAAGGGAGCGATAATGGTGACCTGATCTCACATGTTCCTCAGTGTGTTTGCTCATGTGCAGTCTGAGGCCAGGACCTCGTGAGCTGCATTGCCAAGAGGGACTGCTAGCCTTATTTGGTATGTTTAGGTTAGAACTTTGCATCAGTTAATGAGGCCCAAAGCAAATCAAACGTGAGCATCACAGGCCTGTTGTTCTGAAGAGGAAAGTCTCAGAGACCTGGTGTCACTCTGGCTTCCTTGTAGTTTTCAGCAGCTAGTTACTAATGTAGTGCTGAAATTATGCCTCATGTTCACTGTGATGGGGACACTGAGGGGAATGGTTGATGCACCACTGGAGTTTCTATGCTGCTTTCTGATACAGTCACACACAGGCACGCAAGCACTGGCACTCAGTCGGGTTTATCAGCTCCCCGCTAATCAGTCCTTATTATTTTCTCTTTGTTTTTCAAGACCTGCTCTGAATCAGTGAAGGCCAAAGCTGCCAAGTCTGACTGGCTGCAAGATCTTTTCTTGCCCAACATCATGCTCTTCACAGACAAGAGGTACTTCAATGACAGTGAGTGGGACCGCCTGGAACATTTTGCTCCTCCGTTTGGCTTCATGGAGCTGAATTATTCATGTAAGTCCCTCAGGGCATGTCAGGATGGGACCGTCAAAATCCCAACAGGAACCTTATGCTAAGTAGCTGGAGGTTTGCAGCATCTCCCTGTCAAAGGCATCAGGCTAGGTGGATCTCGTGGTGGAAGCTCCAGTGGTTTCACTGTGTCCATCCAGAAGGCTCTTGATGCTAACTCTCCACCATGTTTGCTTCACAGTGGTGGAGGAGGTCATGTCCCTGCTGCCCCCGAATCCCCACCAGCAGCTGCTCCTGGCCAACAGCAACAGCAGCGTGCCGACATGTATCAGCTGTGCTGTCGTGGGGAATGGGGGAATATTGAATAACTCTGGGATGGGCCAGGAGATTGACTCCCATGACTACGTCTTCCGGTAAGGCAGGCTTCCTTCTTAGAAGGTACACAGCTAGCTTATTCTGGCCGGCAGATAATTACAGCTGGATAACTTCACCTTTTCTAGTATTGCACTGACTCCTGAGTGCCAAAATAACTGATGGCAGGAGGAGATGAAAAAATTGGAAAGCTCCTAAACGCACAGGAAGAGCCTAGCTTCACAGATGAACCATAGAGAGCCATCTCCAAAGCAGGGGCTCTCCTGCAGATTGAGAGATGTAACTCAAAATGGGCCTAATCCTCCCTTCCTCCAGACTAATGCTGTCTTTTCCTATTATAAATATGGATGTGAGGGTCACCTACTAAACCTGCTCCTCTGTTTTATTTCCTTGGCCAGGGTGAGTGGGGCTATAACCAAAGGTTACGAAAAAGATGTGGGAACAAAAACCTCCTTTTATGGATTCACAGCCTACTCCCTGGTGTCCTCTCTCCAGATCTTGGGACACAGAGGGTTCAGCAACATCCCATGGGGAAAAGTAAGTCAGGGCCGTGCCGTGTGCGTGCGCAGCTTTGATAGGATGCTGTTAGTCTGTGGTCTTCAGTTCTGATCTTGCCATGCATGAGAAGCAAAGGGGCTGAGCTAAGACTTCAGCGTTACCGTTAGTGAGGGAACCTGCATTGGCTTAGCTAGGAGTGAGTATTTGCAGTGGCAAGCTGCATCAGTCCTACCCTAGCCTTTTGGCCTGTAGAAGTAGCTGTACGTCAAATGTTACATCCATTCTGCTTCTGTGGGATAATTAGAAGCTGCAGACCAAAGATGTGTGTCCAAGAAACTCAGCCTAGATGCCTGCTTGCTTTTTGTTTTTAAAGGATGTGTCTCTCTTGTGCTGTTCATTAAGGCTCGCCTGTTTTCTTAGCATGTCAGATACATTCACTTCCTGGAAGGAGCTAGAGACTACGAGTGGCTGAAGGCTCTTCTGCTGAACAAGAACGTCAGGAAAGGATTCTTGAACGACAACGGGTAAAACAAACTGGTCTCACCTCTACACCCTTCAGCGTGGAGCTCTCTGTTGTGCCCTTTTCCTCTCCACAGCGCTCAGCCCTACTGAGGTGCAGGCTGGGGTAAAGCCAGGTTAAAGCCTTCCTCCCCTGGCAGATTTGTCTGGAGAAATATCTTATTTCCTCTACAGCTCTGAGCAGTGCTGTAACCAATACAGCTTCTTCCCAGAAGTAGCTGATTTCAGTGATGTGTGGCCACAGCTTGGAGAAAGCTTTGTGGTCTTCTGGGATGAGCACATGCTGTTGTCTGGTCTGGTGTCCGTATGTGGTGGCCTACTCATGGATGAAGGCCTGGTTTCACCAGTTCTTGTCTATACACACACATGCTTTTGATATTCCTGTCTCCTGTTGTTGCCTCTCCTCCCTGATCTCTCCTTCTGCAATGCATACAGGTTATGGAGGCTTTGTCATAATCTGGGAAATGTTGCAGAATAACTTAACAGTGTTTGTGGTTCTTCTCTTATCACCAAGTGCATCAGAGCTGATGCTTTCCTGCTGTGATGAAATACAGGAGCTTGTCCTGAGTCTCCCCATTCCTGTCCTTAGGCAGAAGCCCCGGGAGAGATTTGATGAAGATTTCACAATGGACAAATACCTGGTGGTTCACCCTGATTTCCTCAGATACATGAAAAATAGGTGAGTTGGGGGTTATGTGCTCTAACAGGCTTATTTTTTCTGGCCAGCACCATCTCTCTCTGTGAGCTCTTTCCTCCCAGCTCACTCCCGTGTAACTGCAGTATAGCCACGCCAGCAGATTGGGGATAAGCTTTATCAGTGTGCAGTCAGTTAAAATTCTCTGTGGTGCTGCAGTGGGATATTAGTGGTGGGTAGACGTCCAGCATCTGTGGGCCGGAGAAGCAACAGCCGTCAGAGGATTTGGCTTTCTGCATCCAAAAATGGTCCCGGGCAAATGGTGACTTTAGACGTGGGAAGAGTTGCTAAAGCGCTAGAAGAGCTGATCCAGTTCAGGAGCAGTCTTTCATGTTCCTCATTGCTTAGCACGTTGGAGGAAGGCTCTGTTAACAGCCCTTCTCTTCCAAGATCCCTTCTTGACTCGGGAGGTTGGTTGTGCCTTCAAACACAATAACAGGCACTTCTTTAGTATGCCATTTGCCTGGCCTGGCTGCTCTTTGCCTATGTAATCTTTTCAACAAGGCTGCTGGACACTGTCACTGTAAGATCTGCCAATCGTGGGCCACACGTGACCAGGAGATGTAGGAAGAAGAGCTCCTGTTGTGCCCTGCTTTGGCTGCATTTATCCTTCGATCTCCTTCAGAGATGAGTTGTGCCTTCTCTGAGAGAAGGCAAATGCAGTGCCAGATGGCTTGCACCTCCCTGCTCATTCTGCTCTCTCCCCTCTGACTTGGGTCCTTTCCAAGGCCAAGAGGGCTCAAATGCTATTTTTTCCTGGTGTGGACTCCTACCTTTCTAACAACTGCTGGCATAAAACACTACAGTTCCTAGTGGGTTTTGTGACCCTCCTCTGCACCTTTCCTTTGTCTCGTTTCGCTCCTAAATGCAGATGGGGAGCAGGATATACCAGGGAGCTTCAAAGCCATTTCTGCACTGCAAGGCAAAGGATGGATTTAAGAGTGGGCTTTAACATACTAGATCTGTTAATCCACCTTCTCTTTATCCCCACTTCCTCAAGACTACCACTTCCATAAAGCTGGGCTTAGGTTGCAGTGCAAGTGTGGACCATTCTGGGCTGGCCTGGTGCTTTACTGAGCACGCAGTGATACGCACACATGTGGGCGTACTCGGGGCTTGTCTGAAATCACTTGTATGGCCACAAACTGCTGCAAGGAGGGAAGATGCCACATAGGCCACAGGGGGACAAGGTGTGCCCAGCTTGAACCACCACACTCAGCAGCTGCTCTGTGCTTTCTTTCCTGCTGCAGGTTTTTAAAATCTAAAAGTCTGGAAAAGCCCTACTGGCGTCTGTACAGACCCACAACAGGGGCCTTCCTGCTGCTGACTGCCCTCCATCTCTGTGACCGGGTAAGAGCACGATGATTCTTGCGTACAGCGCTGTCTGGAAGTGGGGATAGGATAATGGGGCAAAGCAGGGGTGGCTCCAACCATCTGCCTTGAGGGTGGTATATGGGTTCTTGTCAGCTGTGGAGAAGCAGATTAAAGACAAAGAAACAGCCCCAGAATAGTTCACGTAGAGGCTGTGAAGCCTACTGTGGCCTCAGACTCATCCTGCCTCCCAGGGAGGCAGTGAGAGGACAGCAGGCTCTCTGGAGCCGGTGTTCATAGTCTAGTCGTTCTGGACCCCCAGGCAGGGTCACCCAGAGGAGCCCTGACTGGCATCCCTGTCCCTCCCCCTTTGGGAGCTGTGTCCTGTATTTCACTTAGCTCCCTCCATCCTTGGTACCTCTCCCCAATGAGCCCTTCGTCTTTCCCAGGTGAGTGCCTATGGCTACATCACAGAGGGTCACGAGAAGTACTCAGATCACTACTATGACAAGGACTGGAAACGTCTGATTTTCTACACTAACCATGACTTCAACCTGGAGAAGCAAGTGTGGAAAAAGCTCCATGACGAGAATATCATGAAGCTTTACCAGAGATCCTGATTGTGCGACAAGGGCCATTGCCTGGGAAACCTCAACAACTCACTAGGAATGGAAGAGGACCACCAGAACCGAGGTTAGCTCTGGACTTCCAGGCACATTTCATCCCCACAAAGATATTTCCCTCCTTCAGCACCTCTGTTCTCTCACAACATTTCTACAAATGTGCAAATGCTACGGACCAGGAGAAAAACAGCAAGAAAATGCAGCACACCAACAGCCAGTCCCATCTGGCTATACTGCAAGACTGTTGCTGATAGTTGTAGGCACTGGTATTGGGAGAGAAGAATCCAGCATGGATCTGGGTAGCATATGGTCCAGTGTCCTGCATCTTCATCCAGATTTTTTTTCTTTGCAAGGAGATGCTCCTCAGGCTGGGGCTACTTCTGTTTTGGGAGGATCCTCTCCATTAGTGATGCCCATCTTGGAGCTGGGTGTATTGTCTAAGCGAGCTCCCATGGCAGCCAGTGGATGGAGGTGGACACACAGACCCTGTCTCAGGTTGACGTATTTCCTGGAGGTGCTACTCTCACTCTGCTCTCTGCAGATAAAAAGGATGGACCAGACACTTCCATGTGACTAATTTGCAAGAGCATCAGTCTCACTTCTGCTTCCCAGTGTGGCCTTGTCATGACACCTCTGAAGGAGCACCATCACCAGCTCAAGGGCAGGTGAATGCTCTCCATGGTGCAGCAGGCACGCTGGACTTGCTCTGAGGGTGCCGTGGCTGCAGGACCCATGAAGGTTGGGTCATGGTCCTTACGTATCTGGGCTTTAGCACACTTGGCTCCCAGCTGTGCCAGGAGCGCTGTGTTTACCCTCTTGCCAGGGGAGGCAGGAGCTTTCCAAGTCCAGGGATGGCTGCTCTCTGTCCTTGCTGGTGGCTGGAGTGCCTGTCCCTCATCGGGCTGGGAGGAGACCGGTTGCAGCCAGCAAGCCTGTAGCATATTGGCCTTCTGAAAGAGGTTTTGCAAGCAAAATAAATGGCACTACTTTGGCCAAGCTGATTTTTCATTGCAGCCCTGTGGGTTGTGGTTATTTAGTGTGCGTCCAAAGCAGTTGATTAAAGGCTGAGATAGCGGATAATGAAGCCAGGAGAGGGCAGGACTGAGTGTTAATGACAATACCCCCATCTGCAGGTGCTTTGCAGCTTGTGTAGACATGCCTGAGCATCCCCAACTTGTTCACCGTGCAGTCACAGGACAGGGATCAGAACTGGCCAAACACCTCCCCAAGGAAGTGGGTAAACACCTGGTGAGTTTGTCCTTGTCCCAGCAACTGCTCTCCAAGTTTATCAGATGCTGGAGACAAATGCATGAAGGGCTGGATGTTTCCCCTATGACACCGTGCAGACAAAAAGCCACTTCCAGTGTCCAGGCAGGTCCAGTGCGTCTGCCTGGGCTCATCAGGCTTGGATTGGGGCCCAGCTGCACACTGACTGGTCCCAGTGGACCTGCCCTGGCTGCAAGCAGTTTTCCTTTTGTGCAGCATTTCTGTTGGGAGCAGCAGCGTCTCCAGGGACCCGCCGGGCTCCAAGGGAGGCATTTCAGCACAAAGTGTCAGCAGGGTTTGTCAGGCCTAATTTCCTTTGTCCCTTTTTTTCCTTGTGTCACAGAGAAGCCAAGCAGTTTCTTGTGTCTCACTAAGCTTGCTTGCAAAGGACAACCCTGCACATTGATAATCTAAATGAAGAATTCAGCTTATCTGGGAGAGGGTGTAGCCTGTGTGTGGCTGCGCTGCCCATAAAAGCCCAGCAGTGTCCGTGAGAGCAAGGAGTTATCCGAAATGCACTGTGCCTCTCTTGGGAATGATATACATATAGCCCCATGTGAACACCAGACCCATGGGGAGCCACAGGCTTTGGAGCAGACCAGAAATCCTTCCCGAGTAGCAGACGGCCTCCCTGTGAAGGGGGGCCCAATGGAAGCTAGTCACCCTCCAGAGCCGACTGAGGACAAAGTCCTGCACTCAGGAGCTCTGGACCCCGCCGCGTGTCCCAGCCCCTCGCGGTGGCTGTGCATGGCTGGTGTCTCCTGTCCCCAGGCCCTGCAGGCTCTCCCTGCCCAGCACTTGCTCGAGGCAGCGAGGCAGCTTTGTTCCTTGCCCGTTCATCGGGCCGTACCGAATTTCTGCGGGTTGCTTAGTGACCAGCTCCGCATGGGTATTCTTCCTGCCTGAATAGGGCTTTTCTCTTCCCAAGAAATTGGAAGAAGTTTCTCTTAGACCCTTCCCCCTCCTCCTCTTTTGTTTCCCTCTCCTCTGGGAAGCGGGGTGGGGCTGAGTCGTGCTGAGCAAGGGGCTCATGGTGGGCAAGGAGGCTTTGGGGATGAGCTGGCAGCCCCCAGCCCGTGCCTTCCCTCAGCACCTAGCTCCTCTGTGTGGCTGGAGCTTCCCAGAGCCAAGGGAAGGAAACTTCCCGGGAGGCTTTCCCCACCGGCAGAGCCTATTTCCTCCAGGCTTTCCTCTGAACACAGATGTCAGAGTTTGATGTTATCAGGGATAACCTTGGCTGGAGAAGGGCCTTTGCTGTGGTCTGGAGTTTCCCAGCAAGCTCCAAACCACATCCTCTCTGGTCCCAGAAAAGCAGCTTTGACCTAGTGGTCCTCTTTACCTCCTCAATTTGCTCCTGTCCCCCCTGCACCAAGGCATCCCATCCCACCGCAGGCTGGCCAAGGTGTCACACAGGGGAACACATCCCCTGGAGCACAAATCCAGCTGCGTCTCACCAGAGCCACCTGACCTTGTGGCATCAGATCCGGAGCAGCCATGGGAAGTCGAGGGGCTTTGGAGGTGGCATTTCCCAGCCGATTTCTAGCCTGGCACAAACTAGTGGAGCAAAACCTGTGGAGGGCAGCTACAGCTGGAGCACCCTTGGCGAGAGCCAGAAGTCAGGGCTTGGGTGAGTCCCCCAGCTGGGTGTGTGTCCCAGGGTGAAAGCAGCAGTGCCGGGCTGTGCCGGAGGACTGGAGTAGCCTCAGCCTCCTCAGTGCAGCTGAACAGAGCCGGTGCCATGGTGCAGGGCCACCCCAAATGTCCTCCCCATCCAGGTCCTCGCGGCTGGCAAACCAGCAGGTTTGTCCCAGTGCCAGCGGGTGGCAGCTCCTGTCCAGGGACCTGTCGGCATTGTGCCGTGTCTGGCACATCCACGTTCGGCGTAGGCCGTGTCTGAGTGCCATGCACAGCCCTGCAGCTGCCCACACAGCATCAGACTATTGTCCCCCAGTGTCCTTTGCTTTAGAATGCCCACCTGCCTGTAGGATTTATGGCCGGGGAGCTCTTTGGGGTATGTAGGGACATGCATAGAAGAGGTTTGATACCTATGAGTATCAAACAGCTGTGAAGTGTGTGCAAAGATGTGGCCTCGGCTTGCGCAACGTGGCATGGCACTGAAGGCAGCGCAAGCAAAGGGACTGATGGGGGGATCGGATCTGGCACTGAGAGATGCCTCGGCCATGGCGACTCCTCGTGCACGGACACAATACTCAGTGCCAGCAACCAGCAGCATCTTTCCCCACTGCAAGCCAGGAGCTCCAGGGTCTCCTAGATTTAAACTGAGATGTCTGATTTGGGAAAGAAATACACAACTCTGCTTCAGTGTGTCTGGAAGCTGCTGTTGCATCAGCTCTGCTTTTTTGGGAAACTGTTGGTGAGTACCATGACCCATTATTACAGCCGTGCCCAACTCCTCCTGGGGTTCCCCAGGAGTTAACAGCCTCTAAATATTCCCTGCCAGATTGCAGGAAACAAATCCACTTGTCACTCAGGAGCTCTTGCAGTGGCAAGAGCTTCCTGGCAGGGCTTTGAAGCTTTTGTTTGGTTGCCACCTCTTCCCTTTTTGTGGTGTGACCGTGTCCTGCTGTGTGTTCGTAGGCACGTAGCTCCTCGGCTGGGGCCGGGGCCGGGGCTGGGGCCAAAGTGGGTGGAAGCGGATGGGGACTTGCTGGGCTGGGGGACAGGGGATGCCTCTTGGGGATGAGACTGGCTCTGCACTCTGTCCTGGGGCTTGGGGTGCCTGCTAGTGCTGGCAGCCAAGACCAAACCCAACCAGGTGTCGTGTCAAAGGGAGCCGCTGCGTGTGCCACACACAGCTCCAAGGCAGCCTTTGTGCCATGGTGGCACATCCAGATTGTCACTCTTGTCTCTCTTCTTCCTAGGCAAGAAACCGAGGCAGAGAGCAGCCAGAGCTGCACGCCAGCATCCAGCTTCCCAGCATGAAATGGGTGCTTCCTCCGGATGCGTTGCGTTCAAGCAGCAGTGGCTGATTGGGCTCTGTGGGAGCGTAGCAGAGGGTACGTGCCTGCTCCAGGTCAGCACAAAACCCCCTGTGCTGGTGACTTACCAGATGCTATTTATGTTCCCCAGTTGCAGAGAGGTTTGGGGCAGGCCGTCAGTGTGCAGGGGTGGGGGGTTTACCCTCCTCACCTCCACTGTGTGGACCTTCTCCCTTTGTTGGGGATGTGGCAGCAGGGAAATCCAGTTTGACCAGAAAAACTATTGATAATAGGGGAGGGAGAACAAAATAAAGGAGCAGCCCATGGCTTTGTTGTGCAAAAAACACCAGATGACCTCTGAGCACCTCCCCTGCAGTGAGCCCTCACCTCCAGGTGCAGGGGCAGGGCCCTGCAGGCAAACAGCTCCTGGGGGTGCAGCAGCCCCTGCTTCCCACACCAAGGGGCTGTGGTAGTCTGGGCTCCTCTGCAAGGCTGAGCAGCAGGACCCTGGGTGCTATGGGGCTTTCCCAGCTTGGTCTGACCCAGCCATCAGGGTGGTAAATCCTGGAAAAGACACTTGCTGGGTCCTGAAGACATCCCAAGGCTCCCTCCATCCCTCCCACGGCAGCTGTGCAGTGTCGGGTGGGACAGGCGGACAAGGGGCTGGCGCCAACTCACCCTCAAAGACAGTGTCCCTTCTCCCCAACTATGTGCTTTGGGGACAGAGCTTGGCCTGACCCCTGGGCCACGTGGCTTTGAGGCTCCCGTGTTTCAGCAGGGACTGTTTACCCT